ATTTTTTAACTTAAATAGGATGATGCCATAAACATCTGAGGTTTGCTTTTTTTCTTCTTAACATTTTTTTTGTTTATTTGAGAAAGAGAGCATGAGTGGGGGAGGGGCAGAGAGAAGGAGAGAGAATCCCAAGGAGGCTCCATGCTGTCAGCACAGAGCCTGATGCAGGGCTCGATCTCATGAATGGGGGAGATGACCTGAGCTGAGATCAGGAGTTGGATGCTTAACCAACTGAGCCACCCAGGCACACCAACAGCACATCTTTCTATACCAGTATATCTAAAACTACTCCTCATCCCAGTTAAGTCTGTATCAAAATCCATACTCTGGATTGTCATAGTTTCTTACCCACTAGGCCATAAAAATCTGTGTCTAAGCCAACTAATACTTCGGGGACGGTAGTGGGAGTGGTCCAGGATTCAATACAAGGGAACTCTATTTGGTAATGCTTCATTTCCTGGCCAAGTGCTCTCTTACCCTGAACTGCTCCGTGGTGTTGGGGTTACTGGAGCAGAGGGAATTCTACTGGCTTCTCTAAAGCTCCTGAGCCTTTCCAGATGATCAATATGGAAGTTGGGATAGGCGTGTCATGTAAATAAGATTCAGTCCACTCAGACACATTAAATTGGGGAATGCATAACTGCGGAAGGGAGACCAATCAGGCATTTTAAAAAACTGGTAATGATTTGAGAATGTCAGTTGAGATTAAGTCTCAGAAAAAGTGTTGGGAGAGAACAGAGAATCCTACAATTACAGTTTAATGCCATCACTTGAAAAGCTATTTAGATTAACAAGAAATGATGGGAATGCTTCTGAGAAATACAGTGGGTTAAAAAAAAAAAAAAAAGCTTGTTGAATCTCAAAGTCTTAAACTTCATTCTATCCAAAAATGTTTTGCTAAACTGGATATAGAATAACTAATCTATGTAGATTTCCTTTTAGTACTGTTCTAAAGGGAAGATATCCAGTACCTATAGGTATTTATAAAAATCTGACTCAATTTGAAGGAAGATGACAAGAATTCAGTGAGCTTTTGCTTATTTTCATACTGAACTCAAGTGTAGTTCAGGTCAAGTTCTTCCAAAGGAGTCATTTTCCCTAAATGACCCCAAAATGATGCCAACTACAAAATCTGTCATAGGAGGAAATGGGAGTAAAAAAATAAAGTTTTCAAATATTTTAAAATTAAAGACTTTCTCTTTAATTAAAGACCAGGTGTAAAGAAGAGGCTAATTAGGTGGGGGAAATCTGAAACATACAAGAAAAAAAAAGAGCTGGTATCTTTAAAAAACTTCTGAAATGAACATACAGAGAATCTTTAAGGGTCACATCTAAAGGCAGGGGACATAAGTGAACAAAGGGTATGATCTTTTAGATTTATTCAGTACTAAAGAACGTATAGCTTTTATCAGGAAATCATTGCCACTTGTTATACTTCTCTCACAGAACAAATTGTGAATACTTTAGGCAAAAGACTAGGTAATGAAGTTAAACAATTATACACAGCTTCGTTTTATCTCTTTCCAAAAATCATTATGTGGTCCTCTTCTGAAGGACCATTGTTTTAAGACAGTAACACTCAGCCTACAGATCTTATACAGGATGCCAGAGGCCACCTCCAGTACAGGGTACGGGGCTTTGCAGTCAGAAAGACTGGGCGCAGGTCCCAGCTCTGCAATATTTACAGCTATGCATTCTAAGTACCCTATTGACACACTTTAAAACATGGAGATAATAATAGTTCTTACACAGTACTACTGTGAGGATTAAATGGAATAATGCATGTAAAACATGTGGCACAGAGCCTTACACTTACACTGGATCCATAAATGCAAGATGTTATTATAAAATGAGTGACTAAATAATCTGGGATGTGGGGACTCTGGAGTAAGACCTGATTTAAGAGTACTAAGAAGGGCGCCTGGGTGGCTCAGTCAGTTGAGTGTCCAACTTCGGCTCAGGTCACGATCTCACGGTTCGTGGGTTTGAGCCCTGCGTCGGGCTCTGCATGGACAGTTCAGAGCCTGGAGTCTGCTTCAGGTTCTGTGTCTCCCTCTCTTTCTGCCCCTCCCCTGCTCTCCCTCTGTCTTTCTCTCTCTCCGTCAAAAGTAAATAAACATTAAAAAATTAAAAAAAAAAAAAGCACTAAGATAACTGTGGGGCACTTGGGTGGTTCAGTCAGTTGAGTATCCAACTTTTGATTTCAGCTCAGGTGATGATCACAGTTTGTGGGTTCAAGCCTGGCGTGGGGCTCTGCGCTGACAGTGCAGAGCCTGCTTGGGATCCTCTTTCTCTGCCCTCCCCTCTCTTTCGAGATAAACTTTAAACAAAGAAACAAACAGCACTAAGATAACCAAAGAAGTTATCCTTTATAGTTATCACCTACCCTGTACTAAAATAATTTTTACTTATCCATACTTTTAGACAAAGAACCTTAGAAGGGATTGTAGCTTAATCATCCCAAAGGCAAAGTCCATTAGAATTG